AGAGGTGTACACATCGAGCTCAATCAGCAAGTTGTCGCGGGGATGAGTGTGTCGTGGATTGAATGTTCGACTGTTGAGGATCTACGGCGCATCCGTATTATATTGATCTCGCCAGTAGTTTTTTAATCATGCTGGGTGCCAGCGGCGACCCACTCTCCGGGTGATTAGGCCGCACGATGAGGACAGGAGAGCCAGTTAAATACTGAGATGAGAGAAAGACATTACGGGGAGCCACGAGGTAATGGTGTGCGAACTCAACGAAATCCGCATACGTTGCACGTAATCACGGTTCGGGGTCTCGACTGAGACTGGGCAAAACGCTGGGTCTCTCCTGATATGCCAGGCAACGTCGTGGAATACCCCACATACGACTCTTCTACGGATTCATCTACTTCAGTGGGGGACATTGCCGGCGACACTCTTGGCTTTTTTTATTTTCATTTCATTTTATTGTATTTATTCGTCGATGGGGTTGTTTTCGAGCGATGTGATTGATCGAGTGCTGGGGTATAGCGGGAATTGGAGTGAAAATTTTTCATTCTTCATTCAAGGTTGTAGTGTTTAAGAATCGGACGGATAATATTTTCCAGTCAGCAATACGTGCTGCTAGTTATGGCCTGGGAAATTACCATTTGATACTGGGGAATAATGTCTTCTCGTTAGTATTTCAGAATGGAAATAGATCTTCAGCAATTTTTTATGGCTGAATCGAGAACGGAAATTGGCATCGCAAAACTATTGATTGAGCAATATGTATTAATTAAGGACAATATGATTCTTGGGTTAAAAATTTGTTTATTGAGTTGAGAGCATTTAATTGCTTACTTCGTTATTTGAAGATAAGAATTATTGTCAATTTTTTAATCGTGAATGGTCATTTACTCATCATTAGTTTTAGGATAAGCATAGATATTCCAGCAATTTTTTATTCTCGCCGCAAGATTGATAATTCTCGACGCAAAAATGTAAATGATACATTGAAGAAGTAATTATTTATCTTTGGACGTGGGGTCATGCAACATTTTTCTCCCCATTTTTGTTGGGTGTTGGTTCATTGAAGAGGTACTGTGGGAGGGAATTTATGGTGTGAATCGGAGTATTAGGGAAGAATTTTAATAAAAATGTTCTGTTCTCCATTTTCTATTCAGGAATGTATATTGCTTGAGAAGAAAATCGTGCGTCATTTAGGGGAGAGTGGGCCGAAGTGGAACGTTTGCGATCTACTTTAATTCTCGAAATATTTGTTTATAAACAAAAATGTTGAAATTTGAGTCGACGACAAACGTTCCACTTTGGCCCACTTTCCAGTACGACTTTTTTTTTCTTGAATTGAGAATTTCCACTCCTCAAATTGATAATGGCATCCGTTCGTCATTAATTTCAGAATAAGAATGGAAATTCTCACACGGAAATGTCGATATTCTGAATTCAGAAACAGTCTCACATAAAATTATTGTTTTCTCGAAATTTCTAAAAATACCCAGTTCAATGGCCAAAAAGTGTGTCCCTTCTCTCTAAATAATCTTTACAGCCAGATTTTCATGCTAATAAAACTTTACGTCAAACACTGATTTGACGTTGGAACGAAATATCAACAAGGAAATTTATCTCTGAAATTTGAACGTTCAAGGTAGTAGAGTTCACCAGTTTTACAACCAGGTGATCGCATGATCAAGAAATAGAAATGACGTAGGTGTACCTCATTTTTTTGTGTTTTCCAGGCGCATAAAACCGAGAAAAAAATACGATAAAATTACAGTGCTAGTACGGTAAAATTTGTTTATTTCGACGGATCCGAGAAAATCCAGGTGCCAGCACCGAAAATTTTGCTGCGAACGTAGGATTTTTTCGTTTTTAACGTGATAATTTTTTTCCTCAGAATCTCGACCAATAGACTCATTGCATTTGACGTTATTTTGTATACCCCAGACTATTTTTTGATAGCTTTTTATTATCTCTGTTCTCTACAGCGATAAAGAATTTTCTGAGAACAGTTCTTTTGGAACAAAATTATGAGAAAAAAATTATCTCCTGAATACCTCTAGAGATTCAAAATTATTTGGTAATTTCCCTCAAGGCTCCCTGCGCACAAACAAAGTCGCAAGTTTTTCTTTGGGAAATCACTCGTATTTTTGTTTTATTTAAGCGTTTTAAACCAATTGGTTTACTCTACTATGAAAAGTTTAAATCCTTCATTTGTGTGCCGGGAACCTATCGAGAAATCCCCAATGACTTTGAAGCTCTGATAATATTTCAAGGGAAAAATTCCGTATTTTCTTCCTCGTGTGATTGCCTTCCGGTCGAAGGAACGATTTATCACGCTCATTCAATGATATTCTCTCTCACTACGTGCCATTTTCTTTAAAATTTTCTCTGAAATTACGACCAGTGCGGCGTAGTTTATTCGAGATATCAAATGAATTTGATACTTCTCCAATTTCGTTGACATTCGTGTATTTCCTTCTTCTCATTTTCAATGAATAATAAAAAAAAAATGGAAGGTATTCTCCAGCGAAATTATATATTGCTGTTTGCGCTACGGAATTGAAATATGCGATTCAACAGAGATTTTTCCTTGAGAGAAGAAAATAGTATTACGGATGTAAATAAACGTAACAATGGGATTCAACCGTGATTTCTCTATTTTCCTTTTTACGTCGAAGAAACTTCCTCATCTGTCTGTATTTATTCATTCTATAGGTATAAAGAAAAGAGTACACAAGAGATATTGTGGCGTAGATCAGAGGCTCAAGCCTCTGCATACCTCGGACTCATTAACCGCACCTAAAAATAACATCTTTCATTCAAAAATTGTGATTTGAATAAATTGTCAACGAAAAATGTCATGAGAAAAGTAAAAATAAACATGAGGGAAAGTTCCCACAGGTATGTAAATTCACACTGCGGCTGAAAGTAAACATTCGAGATTGGAATTCCAGAAATTGGAATAAAGATCCAGCGTCATGGCTTGGGTGTAACTGCACAATTCAAAAAACTTCTGGACAGCCAAGAAGAAGGAAGAGAAAAATCTGATGAGAGTTGCGGACGCCGAATGAATACAACATTTACCTTCACTTTCCAATGCATTAAACCGACCAATCAAGAATAATATCATGTTTAACTTACATTGAAATCCAGAGATAATCGAGTGGATGAATAAAACCGAGCGAAATCTCGGAAAACTTGACAATCACTTGCCGTCGATTGCTCGCGGTGAATGACTTAACGACCGCGAATTTTCACAGTGATTGCACATTCGACAATTTCACCATTTCCGATTTATATTCCCACGAATCAATAATTGAGCTACGCGGAGAGAGAATTTAATAAGAGTTACAGAGCTATGAAAATTGCAGTTATTTGAATCTTTTATTGTTTGATTGTGTGTCTAGATACATAGGAATACATATCTGAACACCGTGATGTCAATGATCCAATCCAAAAGTCAATTAAATTAATCAATTAGAGAGTAGATGATGTCTGCACATTTCGAATTTTTTGTCTGAATTTTCTTGTCATTTCCCCGGATATTTTAGCAGATGCTATTTCCACTGAAAATTCAGCGAATCTCTGCCTTGGAACATTATATAATGATTCGTTTTCCTCATAATTTGATGAGAAAATCAACGGAAACTGAAAATTTTACGATAATTACTCAGTGAAAATAGTGAAACAGCAAGTACATTCAGGTGAATATATCCTTAAATTTTTGATTAATGAAAAATTGTAAGAAATATCCTCGTTAAAAAATCACATATTTCATTGATTTTCTCACAGTTTGGAAACTGTAACAGTGAAATCTGTGAAACACTGGGAAATTCAGGTCAATATATCCTTAGATTTTCAATTAATTAAAAATTCCAGTCATTTTGTTACTGAATATTCGGTCAATATTTCCAGTAAAATTCCAGGAAATGTCGTCATTAAAAAATCACATATTTATTCACATATTTTAATTGATTCCCTCACAATTCGGAAGCTAACTGTAAATTTGAGTTCCATTACCCATCGAAAATGATGAAACCTTAGGAAAATCCATGTGAATATGTCCTTAAACATCAAGGCAATTGAAAATTCCGATGATTTAGCCACTATTCACGCTCAACTTTAAATTCAAGTAAGCTGTGAAATTCCCGTCTTATCTCTACACGAGTATATTTCAATCCACTCGAATTCTACCTGAAACTTGAAATTCCATCAGCCTCCTCCGTCCACATCGACTTCAATATTGCTCTCCAGAAAGTTACCGCCAGATTAGCCATGACATTCTAAATTGTTATGACAGCATATTAAAATTTTCAGAATTGAATTCCCCCATGTCAAAAGATGCGCCATGACATTTAATTATTCCTCTCAGAATGAAATATTTCCCAAGTGTAGTGACTTGCACAGTAGATTTGATTGGGACCGGTCCCCCGTGGCTCGTCGAATTATTGATTTTTCCAAGGATCATTGATTTTCACTCTCTTCTTATTGAAAAAAAAAAAATGGAAATCGACTCCTTCGCGTGCTCCTCACCTGAACGAGGCATTAAGAATTCACCGATACTCCACTGCGCACTAACTCAACAATTTTTCCACGGAAAGCGATAAGAAAAAGAGGGAACCAGCAATTGAAGGTATGAGGAAGCCGTTATTCCCCCAGTCCTAGCCTATGTCGTTGTCAGTTTGGTGTAGCATGTAAGAATGTTATCGCGTGGAGCATGCCCCTACCCAACCGCTCCGCGTGGGAAGGTCGTTCCCAATTTATAGCGTTACCCTTTTGATTACCGAACGCGCACAATCATGCTTCCCACAAGACCTTGCTTATTACCTGCAAATTGTTAAAATGACTGTTGATTATATTGAGTGGTGATTATAAACGAGACGCCATGAAATGGAGAGTCTCACGAGAACTTTTTTTCAGGTGTTACGCGAATGTAAATAGAAAAGCCATGCACATGAATATGAGTATGTGCACGAGGTGATTATTACGTTATTAGAACATTTCACGGTACTTACTTGCAATACACATCCGTAAAGCAACCGCCAGATGCGCAAGAGCCCCGGCCAAATGTACACCAAACTCCTCGAAAAACCGATCATCTGTTAATTAGTGTTAGTGAGTTAGTGTTACGTTAATTGTCATTTGAACTAAGCAGAAACAGTATTTCCATCAATGAACTGACGAGCATATGCTGTGAAAGCTAGTGTCAATATTTTTGATTCGATGATGAATAAAGTTCAAGTATAATCCTAGGCGGAGAAATCGAATCCTAATATTTTGAAATTGCTTCTGAATTTATTGCGAATTAACATGGAACGGGTGGGGAACCTGGGCTAAATATTTTGTTTTCGATGTAGAGACTCTAATTTCCAGGAATTTCTTCACAGAAAATTCTCAATTTTATGGGAAAATGAGTGGAAACGTGAATTTCAGTTCAATAATCCCATGAAGATTGATAGAAATGAGGAAAACTGGTGAATATGTATTCTGGAAGTGTCAATTAACTGAAAATTTCTTGTAATATCGACACCTTAAGAATATCCAAGTACTTTGGCCAGTTTTTCTCCAGTGAAATGCCTTTCTACTTTTGTAGCCTAACATTAGAACTTTCATTTGAGCCCCATTGAATCTCAGTATTCGGACATTTAACAACGATTTTATTATCTAAACTTTGCAGGTCTGAATGTGAATCTCTATATTGAACCGCTAGAAAACATTTTTATAATCTGAAAAAAACGTTACTTTTGGAAGAAGATTTTTGAAAATTACGAGCATTTTCTATAAATAATTTATGAACAACGAATGTTTAAAAAATAATAATTCTGTGCAAAATGTAATTTGAATGACGCTGAATATTCAGGACTTTTTTCAAATTTTTCTCACGCAATTTAATTGATAAATTTTATGATTGAAAATCGTCAAATTTATTCATCAATTTTATAGATTGAAAATCTATACTGTGGTCTGTACCAAACTGTAAAAGATACTTGGATATTCTGAATAATAGACTAGCGTAGGTTCTACGCGTTCCCTACGTAGATACGCTTGTCTTTTATTAACCTGTCGATATGTATTCTGAAAGGGATAGGCAACGGTTTCCGAAAATCATATTTATGTCATTAGGCCCGATAAACCGCGATTCTAACCTCGCTTTGCTCGGTTAGATCGCGGTTTTCGGGCCCAACGACATAAAATACAATATGTCATACGGCGATAAAAGCATTATCTGGCGAATGTAATTATAATCCTCGCCTTCGGCTCGGATTATAAAGCCTCATTTGCCAGATAATACTTTTATCGCCTGATGACATAATCTACTATTTCAAAAATGTAAACTCAAGAAAGAGAATAGCAGAACAGCTGAAATAATTCATTCATCAATCCTACTCCTCATAATTTGTATTCATACTGAATTATCATCGGATATGTGAATCGAACATGTGAGTGTGTGGCGGGTAGATGGCAGTAGCCACCAATCTAAAAAGTTGCCGCTGAAGAATGCAAGAGCATTCGCGGGGCAAAGAAACTGGTCTGTCCAGGAGGAGGATCGTCATGTATCATCGGGATTTATTGAACATCGTAAACTCCATGCGCAGCTTCAAAAGCACCTCCGATGCTTACCCTATGCTTCACCTATCGGTCATGTTAAAGAACTATCGCCCAATCATCTTATCACTGACCCTTAAATGGCCAGAGGCTATTGATTTCGTAAATCGATTAACAAAAACTATGACGACTCACATGAGGAATGCTGATAAAGCCGATCGATAGGTGCATCGTCAACGTTGCCCACGAGGCCCTCCACTACTTTCTCAATAATCTCACGAATATTTTCCAACGAGTCCGTCTTTTCATTTCCACCGGCAGCCAAGTCCACGCCGGAGTTGATTTCACCATGCTCGACGCCTGCAATTTCAATAAACGAGTAAGTCTATTTATTTTCGGAAATTTCGAAGCGAATGCGACTGCACTGCGCAAAAAATTCTATTCCACCAGTCAAATTCGCTTCAAAAAAGAATTTACAGTGAGATTGTATGTGGAAATTTGGGAAAATTGTTTGTTTGAAACGCATTTCATTGGCAGCATTACATTTTCTTCTCGGTATGTGGTGATCGTGTCCCCTTGGGGTAAATAATGGATAAAAATAACAGCGAGGGGATTTAATGGAGAGCAAATACGGGTGCTGCATCCCATTGATTTAATGCCTATGATTTCTACGTAAAGTGTTAATAGGAATTTCTATTGCCCTTTATAAGAGAGAATTTTTACCTGGTAATAAACAGAGAAAAAAATCAAATGAAAAATTACTCTAGTGGCATTTTTACTTGAAATCAGAGAAAAATGGGAGGCGAAGGATGCATTTTATCCTTTGAATCGTAATTTTTCACAAACGAGAAACAAAATTTGCGAATTCTTGGGGAAGAAGTGGATGAAAAATGGATGAATTTTACCGCATTCTGAAGGAATTTTTATTGTACATGTTTTAATAATTAGTACAGGATTTTTTTTTTTTTTCGTTGATTTGTTTTTCTCTGAGTGAAGGGTCATCATAAAACATAATATCTGAGTTTTTATAAAGTTCTTTATTGTAACAATTAAGGTTTGTTTGATTACTACACACCTGTCATGAATTAATCCACTCAGAAAAATCCATTAACGATCACATTTAATTGAACTTGAAAAATTCCAAGAGTTGACAGCCATTGACATTTACATGGTCGTGATTTCAATTGTTTTAAATTGTTGAAAAAAAGGGAAGAGGAACCATTGGGACGCGTGAAAATTCGAACCGATGCGCGAGTACGATCGATTTAAAACCCGGTGGTCCGACGATAAATGAAATATGTGAATAACGGATCGATGGAGTCTTCCTATACGGCAGTGAGTAGTCACGAGACAGACGCGATGTTGCTCGTGAGAGTACTGGAGCAGAACTGAGGTTCACCACCTCCAACTTGGCTCAGGGACAATAAATGTCTGTGCGGGAAGAGCCAGCGCTACTCGGAATACTTGCAATGAACTGTCCTGAGGAGTTCGAGGGAATTAAAAAAATAGGATAAAAAAGGGGAAATCTTGGTGTTTTGTAATGTGAGATGGATCATCAATCCACCACCAGAACGTATCAATTACCACGTCAGCCACCTTTCAAAGTGGATCGCCCTGAATTCACTGTAAATAGGGGATTTTTAACCCGTATTGACAGAGTACAGAGAACGTCGAGAGAAATTTCATTAAAATTTACCCGGAAATTGAAAATTACCCCTAGTTTTTACGAAAATTGTGATGAAAAATGCAATAAGTCTTGTCAAGAATATGATATTTATGTAAAAGTTTCACAAAAATGTCATTTTTGCTAGAGTCATTACATTTTCTTAAAAAAGAAGACTTCAATTTTAAAAACTGCCCAGGAATATCTTTTCTTGCGAGTGGTGTTATTCAATAGCCATGGAAATTCCAATATAAATTGAAAAAAGAAACGTTGTGGTTTGCCCGCGTACCGATACATTAGAAAGATCGGAGCTCTTTCACTTGTTTTCCACAAACTATTCGAAAAAAATGAGTCGTCCTTTTTTTAATCTGGATGATCTCAATTTTAAATTGAACAATTTTGGTTGAAATTTTCATGATGGAAATTAATCCATCCAATTAACCAATTAGTCCCGGAAAACTTCAGTCCTATTGTAGACTTATTGCATCTTCTTCTAGAATTCCGAATGAAGTTGCACGATTACTCGTGATTTTCAATCAAATTTTTCCCCGTAAAATAGAATTTTTGACAAACAAAACTGTTTTCAATTCAGGGATACCTCTTCTTCCGAGCAGTATAATTCAAAAGACAGAGAAATTTCAGTATAGATTGAACGAAAAATACGACCTGTTTTCTCCAACAACTTCCCGAAATATTAGAAAGATCGATTACATTAGATCAAAACTTGCTCTCACTTGTATTCTGCAAACAACTGGAGAAAACAACTTGTCTTTCCATTTTTATTTTGCTGAGTTGCGTTTTAAAAGAACAATTTCAATTGAAATTTTCCTGATGTACTACCTCCGCATCTAATGACCCAATTAACCCCGAGGAAATTCAGTTCTAAATCATTTTACGATGGTCCAAGGACCCACTCAATCCCCCGATTCCCATTAATTTCGCCACAAATTTCTCATCAACTCCCAGCGGTCGTTGTTGCACCTATGATAGCCTATAAAATAATAAGTACCTTCTGGCATGTGCAGTATTACGAAACGAACTATCGGCTGTTCTCAAATGTGACCTTGATACCAGAAATCGATGGGCAAGAACATTACTCCCCCATTACGCAATTAATCCCCCGTTCCAATGCTGTTTTCCCATGGATGAAGCAATTTGTGTTTAATATTATACACTTGGCATGTAAGTTGATCCCGTTAGCCTCACTGGGTAATATTAAATTATCCTGGCAAGACGGAGGAGGAAAGGTAAACCGGAATGCAGCATAGACAATGCGCACTAACGTTCACCCGCGTACAGTGAACACTTCATGTTGTAAAATTCGGAGTCACTGAACCGCGTGGAGATCGAGGAAAGTCGCTGGATATTTTGCTTGGGTGCAGGCTATATGGAAAAATAAATGAGACAGTCAACGGGACTACGCAATGATCAGCCGTAATGCCCCACTTGTTCCAAAATTGTTGACAATGTTTCGGTAATTTTGTTGCACAACAAAACGAGAGGATGAAGTGTTGCAGATTGAAATTGTGCTGCGGATTTTGTTGCACAACTTATGGAATTCAAGTATCTTTTACAGTTTGCTGGAGATCACACTACAGATTCAGCCATTTTCAATCATCAAAATTGTCAGTTAAATTGAGAAAAATTTAACAGAAAAATTTGAAGGAAAAATTTGAAAAGTCATGAATATTCAACGTCATTCAAATGACATTTTGCACAGCATTGTTATGTTTTTAAACATTGGTTGTTTGTAGATAAATAATTGAAATTGTTTAAACTTTCGCAAACCTTGTTTTTTCAGGCATAAAATCAATTTCTGGTAAAATTCTGAATTTGTTACGATTCCGAACAAATGATTTTTATTTAATTCACTATTCGTCTCGCATTTATGTCGCGATTTTTCTCCCGTATAAGCGAAAAAGAACTAGAAACGGATTTTGCTCCGTGCAGTTAAATAGAGACGATATTATCAGAAAAATCAGATTTGCACTAATTTATATTTTAATTAGTTCCTGGTATAAAAATCTCATCATCAATGCCGGTGAAATTCAATTATTTTTGATGGTTTTTCAATTGCGGCGGAGTAATTAAAAATGAAATTCACGCGGTGGATTTGTATTTGAATCCCGTCAATCGATCGGTGAATTAAAACAATCAATTGACGAGTGCGCCAGTGACAATGATTTGCTCGATAGCTTTCCCCAATGTCACTGTCGGGTGAATGGTGACGGGATGAAATGCCAGGGCGAAGGTTCATTATTCGAGGCCATTTGTTTTTTTCTTCCGACATTTGTTTATATCCCGGAAGGTTTTATTTCGCCACGTGTGTTTTTTCTTTGCTTTACGTTGTTTTACGTTGTTTTTTCTTTGAGGTGTTTCAAAATTTCAGTAAATTGTTTACGTACCTGGGACATAAGCCTGGGATTTCGCCGTGCTGAATTGACCGCTCGATTCTTCGGTCGAATGCGCGCCACTGAATGTCTCAAACCACTTTTCTTTCTTCCCCAACCACGTTCTATAAATTTGATAAATTTGAAAATAATATTATCGTGAGTGAATGAGTCAACCGAAATAATTGAATAAAAATGTAACAATTCCCTCTTTTTTATTCGGTTCTATGCCACTAAATTCATCAGGAAACTAATTCAATTTATCAGCTATTCAATCAATTCATATTCAGTAGAATTTATTGTCGTCAATGAAATTGCATGATTCGACGAATTTCAGGAGAAGTATCATAAAAATTGAGTGAGTCGATTCATTGAATTAGGGAAAGCATTTGGACGCGTGCGATCCTATCCATCTGACCAGTCCATTTCCACTTGAATATATTCCGTCAATAAAATTCTGAAATGCTCCGCGATTTTATTCCACGAATCCCCGACTTTTTCCACAATTGCATAAACATGCTGCGACACAATTATTCTCAACACTTCCCAAATACATATTCATGATGGATATTTTATCGTCACCCAATTTCTCGTCAATACAAGAAACTAAAGAAAGTTGTGAACCCAGTAGAATGATAACCTTTGTGATGACACCAATATCAATGATTTATTCAATCAATTCATCTTCATTTCAGTCTATTCTTCTCCAAAAAATTTCTAAACTTGACCCATTTTAGAAATAATACGGTAAACATTGGATGAGTTGATTGAATGACTGATGTAAAAAAAACCTTCGGATTCATCTAACCGATAATTCATCGAGTCATTTCATAAGCAGGGAAATTTATTCTCGTCAATAAAATTTTTCAATGACCCGTGATTTTATTGATAAAATCTCTGAATTTTTTTGTACAATGCATATTCATTTTTTCATTTTTTTGAATAATTCATATTCAATATGTAGATTTAATTCTTCACAATTCTCTATCAATACTACCTTCTACTTTGTTAGAAAAAAAAATACAATTTTATGGACGGTTTACTAGTCATTTTTAGGAGATCGCCATTAAATTCGATATGCGGAGAGGGGGGGGGGGGAATGACGGAATTTTTAATTTTCGAAAAACGGGAATTTTCCATTAATTTCAAATTCAAAAACATATCCAACTGAATTTTCCTGATGTCTATCAATTTTCATGGAGTAATTGACCTGAAATTTACAGTTCTCATTGATTTCTTCACCAAATCGTGAATTTTCAATTACACTTAGGAAAAAAATTTCCTAATATGCAGACAATATCTACTCAAGCGAAGTAAATAATTTTCAATGATTTAAATCGCAGGATGTTTGCGCTCCACGGAACTCGAATAAATTCTCATTGATCACTATCGTCCCGTGTTACATCATGAATATATTACTTATCGAAACATTGGAAGTGCATAAAGAAATCATGAAAACAATAAATACTTGAGCATTGAAGATTCTTCTACGCGATTTGAGTGAATTCATTTGCGACAAAATCATACTTGAGTACAAGAATATTTGAAAGCATGACCTTTCTCGGTTCACGTGAGTTGAAGAAAAATTACTTGTCTCAAGTAAATCTGTTTAAGACATTAGAAATTTTTTTCCCCAGTAAATTCCAGTAAAACTATAACATGATGAAAATTCTCAAGAGTCGTACCGGAAATTTCAGCCACCATTTTTCACCAATGAATGACATCTATATGAATCACCCACCAGATTAATTCCTATTCATTTCAGTTTATTCTTCCGCAAAAAAATTATAAATTTGACGCATTCCAATGACAATATGCTAAAAAAATTCAATTAATCGATTGACTGCATTGAATTGAATAGTGAAAATCTCCCTGCTTCTTGCAATCCCGTGAATTTATTCGCATCGCAACTCTTCCAATTTATTCCAACCGTTAAATTTCTCAGACAATCCTCGACTTTTTTCTAAAATGGCATAAACAATCTGAAACACGATTCTCCACGACCTTCACATTCCACCTATGCATATTTCATTGTACCACAATTCCCCGTCAAACCACGAAACCCATCAGCGAGTCCTGACCCCACCAGAATAATAACCTTCTATGATAACAAAACAGACAGCGCCAAACGTTATCCTTCACTTCCCAGCGTCCGCAGCCTTTCCTGCAGAATCTCGCGCTGCAATCGTTGCACTGAACGCCACGACCAATGATAAACGGCTTGAGACAACAGGCGCAACAGCTGTCATCAACTGGTACTTTCTTCTCGTTTTTACCGGTCCCGGTTTTCCTGCAATTTTTTCCAAAATCATTAACCATTCAATTGCCAATGAAAAGAGGAACATCAGAAGTGGTTAAAAAAGAAAACACAGCAAAGTGAAAGCCACAAATCATTTATTACATACAACAGATCATTTCAAACACTTCAGAAAAAATATCGATGACCCCGTAGTCCTCCATTTTCCCCTCTGAGTATTCAATTCACACACAATACTATTAACATAAATTTTTGGAAGACGTAATAACCCCCTGCAAAACCAGTTGCACCAGAGTATTAATCATCGCGATCAAAAAATATAGACGCCGAGTGTATTCCAAACCGACTTTCGTCATCATTCTCCATCTCGAAAGTGATGACCTTAACAATAACGACCTCGATTGTAAAGAGCAGAAAGAGCACCATGAATGTGCCCATATTAAGTCTCTCCTGGCCACCAGAGCGGTCGCCCTCCATCAGAAGGGTGGACATGAAACAGCTCAAGCATGAAAACATTTTGTCCAGCAGTTTCAGCGTCAATTATCACGCTTGAAATATAATACAAACGAGAGTTTTCGCAGTGTGATACAACTTTCTCAAAACTAGTATTACTTAATCCACTATGTGCGATGCCAATTGCTCCAACATAATGTCGATTCAACCGTTCACTCGGTGCGCAATCTTTTTCATTACATCACCTTTATAGCAAAAATACCGAAACTTAAAATTATAACACAGTTGGCATTGCCATCACATCACAGCACTGTTTTGTTTATTATCAATATTGGCATTTGATTGGTGTCATTAGTGCATGTGCAAATATTCTGGAGGCAGGTAATGTCTTCAGCGTTGTGCAGCCATTGAATCTTGTCCTCTCGCGTAAATTCCGAATGATCGATTCCCTGTCTTCTCCACATTGTTCCCCGAAGAATCGGAATTTTACTCTCGTGAGTAACGGCGTTGACTCGTAAATATTGACGCACTAGTGTTCATATCCAGCCATCCACATTTCCGGGACACCGAGGTTAGTGTTGTCCACCTTCCGGCAGACCCAGAGGTCGACTATCAATACCATCTGCCAATGCTCAACAAGTATTCACTGCGTATTGCACTCGTTTCTCCTGTTTACACTTTCATTATTTTCGTGATTTAATGGATGTCTTTGCTTGGATCAATCGGTATATTTTGCCGGTGTTATTATGGTAATCCCGAAAAGCCGATCCTTTGTGTCTGGTCGTCAGTTTGAAAGTGACAGTGGATGGCGGGCACGAGAGGGAAACCACGGGGCACAGCGATGGTAGGAGCTACGAGACCGGTATATAGCGCAGAATATAAAACCGGTGGGGTCTTATGTCACAGTGCCGCAATAAGGCTACCATGAGTGGGTCTGTTGCGGTTGTGTTTAACGCAGTTTTAATATGTTACTTTCACTGAATTTTCGGACTGCGCTCTTGCAAATATCGATTGTCTTCGAATGATTGAGTTATTGGATTCCGTTGGGTTCGAGTGTCGATCGAATTGCTGATTTGTTGGGGACGAGTGAGGGCTACTCCCTCCCGAAATCATGACGACGCGGTGCACTGTTGAAAATTATTTGAATTTGATGGAAGATATTATGGTAGATCTCGTGTGAGGGACGTTGAAGGGAATTTAAGGGAAAAATGGTTATGAAATTTCAAGTTTTAAGTGGAATTTACGGAAATCCGTGAGTTTTCAGTGGAACATGAATATTCAGAAACAAAATAAATTTTTAATTTTTCCTAGAATTTTTTTGATTTTTCAGAATTTTTACAGAATAATTTAACTGAAAAATCAAATATTTCATTGATTTCCAGATCATTTGAACAGAAAATCAATGGAATATTTGATTTTTCAATGGAACTTTGGCACGGAAAATTCAGACGAAAATTTTCAAATGTGTCATGAACTCATTTTTTGGAATCACCTTTGGAATCATGCTGAAATCGTCTGAAATCAACGAAATCAATCGAAGTAAATAAAACCGAACTGCGAAATTACTGGGGTAGTGCGGATCGTGCAAGTAATTTAAGATTTTGACATTGACACGACTATTTATTTTCATTCTTAACGGAATTCAACACAAGAAGCTTGGGACTAACCATCGCTCGAAGGTCTTAGCTGAACGACTTTATTTTCTCGGAAATCATTGATTTCGAATCAATGGAATGTTTCCCAGTCAATTGAAGTCCTGAAATCATTTCAGAGAAATAATTTCTGTAATCACGTGAAACTTACTTAATTTCGAAATTATCATGTCCTTTAATTATGGAGTGAATAGCCCCTCAGTAATGAGATTTTCGTTACTGTAAACAAATAGTAGTGGTGCATACGCCTCGATTATGACTCGTTAATTATCCACAAATGATTTAGTTGACAGCAATAAATTTGAAATAAATCGATAATAGAGGACTTGATTAATTTCCAGGAAATTATTTTTTTAGCTAATGACAGGTTATATAAAAATTACTTTACGAAGGATTAAAAATGTTAAATGAACAAATTTTTTTATACACGGACTCATGGGATTTATTTTCAAATTCATAACTCACCAGCTAGGAGACGCAAAAAAAAATAGAAGATAATGCGGAAACAGTATACTGGATTTAATGAGCGAGGAAAAATCTGGGTTAGTGAGGCAAATAATGACAACATTCTGAACATTGAACCCACCGCGGGGAAAAAAGTTTTAGAACAAGTAATCTTGATGCATAAATAATGATTCCTAGGAATTATTGAAGTGTCACGTGAAAATTACGTTCCAATTTGTGAAATTTCACGTACATAAAAGGAAAAGTTCACTCTTCGCTCGAAAATTTTCGAACGAGTAATCGAATTGCGTTGATGCGTTCAAATTTTCAGGAATTTTTTACGAAAATGAAGAAGATGAATTCGTTCAATCAGTTGAAAGAAAATAATTCGTCTTCAATTTGTACTTCGGCTTGCAATTCTGAATAAAATCGTTACTTGTAGACAATAGTGTTCAACAGAATCGGTTTGTTCACTATCAATGAATCTTTCAATCAGCGATGAGACACTTCTGTTCGGCGAAATTGATATTCCCTGGAATTCTACAAAACGCAATTGAGCAACAAAAAAACGCAACGAATGCAATCTCATCTCAATGAATCGAACTTTTCCATTACCATTTAAATGCGGAATTTTTATCACTTGTGGCGGCCATATCCAGTGTTTCTCAATGCAAAACGGGAGTTGAAAATATATGAATAAATATAAATGGAGTGTCAATGCGCGTCGTTGGCATTTTTCATTCTCCGAGAGGATAAAAATGTTATATACTCCGACAGATTTTCCTTCCACAGAATGCCACTCGACGTTCGTCTCCTCGTTGAAATAGATAAAAGCCTTTTAAGAATTTCCATTGTAAAAGTATTCATTCTATTCGACGGCGTAGAAACCACCAGGGACACCCGTTTCAATTTTTATGATTGACCTTTTGCAGCTTTTGTGAATAATGTTGAGGCACACGTTTATGTTCCGAATTTTGTCCTTGTGAACTTGGAACTTGAATATTCATTCGCACCTGACGTTTCCGGGAGTTTCAGTATCAATCATATTTAGATGTCAGTTAAATCTGTCACCGTTAGATGATTGCGGTCGAGCAGAATACAGAATAGAACGCATACCAATGCGAATAATTGTAACTAGCCGGACGCGGTTCATTCGGTATGGGAACGTTCCCGGAATTTTCTATTCTATCGCGAAATAATTTTGCTGTCGCCGACGTCTTCGTTCGTAAGTATTTGTATGACACGCACCCAGAGCAATGGTTTTTCGAGTGAAACAAACTTCGTATGAATCGAATAATTAGGTTTATTCGAATAGCTCGTTAGGAAGCTATTATTCAAACGTAAATTTAAGTATCATTTGCGTTCCTATGTACATTAACTAAATCGTTGTTTAAATATAAGCAAGTGTTTCCTTGACCTGAATGAAAAAGTCATTATTTGGAGATTGAATCTATTAACATTCAATTATTTGGATGAGATAGGCTGTTTATTTGATGAACAAATAAAATGGAAAAAAGTAAGAAATGAATGAATAAATAAAATGAATAGAAAATCTCAAGCAAATGAATAAATTTATGAATTTCTAACAGAAGTGAAGTGAAAATAGTTTTGTGTTCAATTCAAATCCGTCATTTCTCTATGGGTGTACACGTACACTGAGAAAAAATATTACTGTTGACAGGAAATCAACTTGGGAGAAAAAACAAATCCAAATGTTATAATTGTGTTAAATTATGGCTTGATATGACTGATATGGCCTTGAATGAACTCCATTGATAACTATAGACATTTAAAATTATTCCAAATTAAAAATTGAAAAATAATTAAAGGTGTTCATTATTCGGAGATGGACATGGACCACCTTGGTATGGCTGGCCTGGAGAAAAACGCTCCTAAGAAATAAATTCTCCTCCTATGAAAACGATTCCTTGATAAAAGTAATTTTTTTCCTCTCAGTGTAATCACAAGTTTGTCACTAGTTCCTTCACGGTATTAATTTCCTCATTACCTGGAACAACAGCACGATGACTCTGTGAATATCTCAGTAGCTGATCTCGATTCACGCGGCATTTCTAACTGAGGTACCTCGAAGCGCGCTCGGTCCCACCAGCGATAAGAAATATGTTTGTTCACGAATAATGTGTTTCGTGCAGAAAAAATAGAGGGGGTATATGGGCTCTTACCATATATCTTTCTCACAATTCAAATATAAACATTTGATAGCGCAGTATCTTTCTGAAAATGGTGAGAATGGAATCTCATGGAAACTCTGCACAGAGAAAACAGTTTTTTTATTTTCAGGATCATGTCCCTGATTTCCAGAGTCATAAACATGTCACTGATTTCTAGAATTCTATCGCTGAAATTTGGTGATAGATTCATAAAAATTAGAGATGGATTCCTGAAAATCAAAACTTTTTTTCCTCTGTGTACCTGAACGAATTATCGTTTCAGCAGATTTGAACGAACGGAATTGACAATAAT